GATGTATAAGCTGAAATCATACCTCAATTGCAATACATTGTAAGTTATTTTAACTTATACTACAGATTAAACAGATTTGTTTGTTCACCAAATAATGCACCAGTCATTTGAAGCTCCCTGTCCCCCCTCCTTGGGCATGAGCGGGGTAAAGGGAGACCTTCCCTTCAGATTGCATTCACTCCATTTTGGTCCCCCTTTAGGCGGGGAATGCCAATTATATTGACTCACTCGACTGATCAGATCATTCTGCGATTATTGAAGCGACATTTCGCTAACCGAGGTGGCCTCCCCTATAAGCCTGGTGGTTTCTTAGAGGTCTCCTCACCTACATACAACTGTTATCATTGTACTTTTATTTAAATAATGGCTAATAAATGATTATGATTATGATGATGATGAAATATGACAAATTATAATGCTTTGCAAAGTTTCTTTTTGAAATGTATCGATGAAGGCTATTATAACAAGAGAAATTTTCAAAGTCGGTTCATGAAAGGTAGGCAGATTTCAATGATATTGCATTCATAATTATGATTGACTCATTGCAGCTCTTATCTCAGAAGACTTGATTGTCTACGACCTATTTGATATTATGATTAAGCTGAAAGTTAATATGCAATTTTTTTGGGGCCGTCTGGATTCATGTCTTATCTTTTTCAAATAGTGGTCTTGTTCCTTGTCTATTGTGGGGCCTTTAAAAGTATATTGCTAGCTGCACTGAAATCAGCGTGTTCATTTGATCCCTTGTTTATAATACGCTTGACTATAACAAGTTTCCTTTTACAAGGGAGTACCATGTGTGTGGAACATATGCGGGCAGGGGAGTTCACCATTCAATTTTTCTCCCATGGACCAGGGACTTCACGGTTGGTACTCTGGCTTCACTTGCTTTCACTTGCATTAAAAGTGAATGTCTTGCTCATGCCTTAGGGGGGGTGGGGGTTTGCAGATGTTTCAAATGACTGGTGCACAACATACTTCATTCGGACTAAAGCCCGAAGAGTTTAAGCCGGTACAGAATTTGTGTGTTATTTTGGGGTACTCAAAAAAAGTTATGTATTATACCAAGATTAACTGGGATGGGTCACATGGTTTACATGAAATTCTCAAATTTCAGGGGTTTTAGTCGTCGTTTGTGTTTGGATGTTATGTACAAGTTTATGCTGTTACATTGTATTTGTACCCACCCTCCCCCACCCTTTGGTCGGTAGGGAGGTTGTCGTTTATCTTTTTCCTCCATATCCTTTGGGAAGGCTATTGTTATAGTTTGATTATGACTGTTATTCATGCACTCAACTTTTTTTTGGAATAAAGCATATTGAAATTGATCCAAACGAAGACCATATGCTTGCACTGTAAACTCAAAGCTCATATATTTACAAACAAAACTATGATATCATACGTATTTATAATATGAATTTAAAATGAACTTACCTTCGAAGATTTTGATGAAACCTTCTAGGCTCTTTTCTTGCGGCCACCAAACCACAATATCTAAATTATTTCGCCCCCGAAAATCATCAATGTTGTACCGTACTGTGCCATGGCTTTTTTGTGTTTATTTTCTTTCATGTGGAATGTGAAGTTATGTGGGTGGTGGTGGGCCATGCCTATTTTCCAATGGGTTAAAAAGTTATCTGCATTGTTTATTTAGGGCTAATCTTTTTGATGATTAATAAAGCAGGTTTGTGTTTTTAAAAAGTAACGATGTATAACTCTTTGTTTATGAGTGAATTGTCAAATGCCCCACCCCAGACAGCCCGTTATGAGCAAATGCCTCATGGTGGGGACCTACAACTTGTCTAAAACGCGTCTAAAACCCAAATTCCTGGGGGGTGCTCATTGAAATTGACAGAGCCATAAGTCTCAAGCAATTTTCTTTATCTACAAATGAAAAAGGGTCATGTCTTGAATTTCCATTAATAGTGTGAGAAAGAATGAAGCAGCTACTATGTTTCCAATCTGTTTTTACTCTTCAGTTACCTTTAAGCTTAGTCATGCTATTCTTTTGTTTTATAATATACAAAAACCATAAATATACTTTGAGTTTTATTTTCCTGCTTTCAGAAGTACTTGGTAGTATATTTATACGTTAAAAATCATTTCATTAGCATAACTTTTAAGTTTAATAGGAAAAAAGTGTTATAAAGCAAGAAAAATGATATAATAACTTCATCAGTCATTATCAGTGACTAATTACCTCTGAGAGTGCAGACAATCATGATAAAAGTTGTTTTCATCAAAGAATTTGGAGCAATGAAGATAACTACCATGATCCCCCACGGGCCGTTCTCACAGGGGTAATTGCCCATTTGCAATATTGAGCCTTCATTTAACACCTATATTAAGTCCTAAAAACTTAATTTTGAGAACACCTGTCATTCAGACCGGTTGCCAGAAATAGTATTTACTCCCCCTCTATACTTCATCCCCATCTCACAAAGTGTTCTTGTAAGGCCAACTTGCCTAAATAGCCTAACTGGCCCATAGCTCCAGCACTCCGGTTTCTGTAGCATTAAGCGGCTGAGAATTTTGCTACTCCCCTGGGTGGGATTCTAGTCCATCTCAGGTTACTTCCCAGCAGTAAATTCATCAGTACCCATTTATATACCTGGGTGGAGAGAGGCACTATGAAAGTAATGTGTCTTGCCTAAGAACATAACGCAGTGCCCCGGTCGAGGCTTTAACGCGGATAGCTCGATCCGGAGTCCAGCACACTAACCAATAGGCCACCGCGCCTCCCATAGACCAACTTGCCATTTCCCTAAACATTCCCTGCAACAATCATTAATACAGTGTATATCATCTATAGTAAAAATTGATATAGCATACATAAATTGTTTGTTAAATTTGACACTGACATATTGCATAAATTTTATTTTTTTAAAACTAACAGTCTGATAACACTTTTCTAACAGTGTTAACTTCAGGTAGTTAGAATTTTACCCTGCAGGTTGTGGATTACTAAACATGGATTATTTATTTATTATTATTATTTTTTATATTTTACATGGATTATTTATACTATGTCACTAATATGTGTGCATATCTTTACAGACCTGTCGGGCCTGTGGTGAACAAGCTCCCATAGCTTTAAGGAAATGTAGAACTTGTGGAGATGAGTTTCCCAAAAAGGAAAAAGATTGGGCATCCATA